GGAAGAGGAGGGGAGGGGGAGGGAAGAGGAGAAGAGGGGAAAGGCACGAGAACTGGCATACGTCATGCCTTGGGTATATGAGAGGCGGTCCTTCGCGGCGGATGAATCGGCAGAGGGGGGGGGGGGAGGTGTTCTCGGCTGGGGGTCCTGTGTGCGAAATGGTGGTAAAAAAGATAATAAAGAAAACGGGAGTAGGAATAGAGATAATCAAAAAAAAAAAAAAAAAAAAAAAAAAAAAAAACAGTATGAAAAATAACACAGATATCGACAATTGAACCTCGAGGAGAATATGAAACAAGCATGAAAAAAAAACAACGATAATGAAAAGAAAACGGAGAGGAGATGAATGGTTTGTAGAAACAGAGGCCTCAAAGTCAGAAAAAAAAGCTGACATGCTGACGTGGGTGATAGCATGGCATGATGACGACACCGCTGACAGAAGGTCTCAGGTGGCAGCTCAAGATGCTTGTTTTCCGACCGGCAGCCGGGCGATGACAGCAGAGAAAAGATAAAGAGAGGGAGTGTAGATAAAGAGAAAGAGAAAGAGAGAAAGAGAGAGAGAGAGAGAGAGAGAGAGAGAGAGAGAGAGAGAGAGAGAGAGAGAGAGAGAGAGAGAGAGAGAGAGAGAGAGAGACAGAGAGAGAGAGAGAGAGAGAGCAGAGGGCACAGAAAACAGGGACCTAGCAAAATGCGTTGCTTTTAATGCTCAGTATCACCTTCTCCGGTAACCCTGTCGTCGTTATAAACAACATGAACTGAGAGCGTGGGAGGAGCTGATCCATCATCCGCCATCAGCTGATCCGTCATCGAAATACCTTTATCATGAACGTAGCTTATCAGTCATTTGCGTTCGGTTTGGGGATTGGAAAGCCTTTATCATGAAACGCAGCTGATCCGCCAATGCCGTTCGATTTGAGGATCGTAATGCCTTTCTCATGAACGCAGCTAATTCGCCAATCGCGTTCGGTCTAAGGATCCCTTTATCATGAACACAGCTGATCTGGCCCAGGTTACTCTGCACGCGCGCACGAAGATAGCAGATTATGATGCAGTGTTCTTGGAAGGAGACGAGTATTTTGAGCCATAGAGTAAAATTGCTATAAATGGAATTTAGGTCTTCACTCACGGATACTGTTATCTGAACGGAGGATGTTACAATAACAGGATTTCTTTATTATCTTTGAAGATGTTGACGTAAACATACAGCTTAAAGCTTAAGTATTATAATTCAAATACATCTATATCCCTGAGTGTTAAAAAAAGGAATCATAGGCTTTATGTGCATCCTCTTTGATTTTAAATAACGACGCTATGCCACCCACAAACTTGTGATCATATTACAGTTTATTATTGATTATTGGTTTTTCATCTCGAGTTTCAAAAAAACAATAATATACATTCTCGCCCTGTGAAGAGTACATGCCAAACCCACTGAAATGAATCTTAAAAACCGAGGAAATAACTCGTTTAAACTCGAGGTTATACAAGAGAGCCGCATTTTCTCCTCCTTACTCCGGCGTCTAAATAACTCCGACATGACCTCACGGAACCAGGACTCGCCCGTCGCCCGTCCGAACCCGAGGATAGAACCATCGTCTCCCGCTCGAACGACGGATCCGAATCCTTTCCGAAGCAAGGACACTCGATTCGAATCTCTTTCGGAACTTATTGCGGAGGATCCTTATAGGTCACGTGATCTACGGAATCGCCTATGACGTGGTTCGTTGTAGCGGAGGTGAGGAAAAGCGCAGGGGGGGGGGGGGGGAGGTTGCGTCATTCTCGGCCGAAGCCTGGGAGGTACCAGGTGGCTCGCGCAGCCGTGTTGTGGTTGTCTACATTTCTGGCAGTTCTGTTTGGCAGGAGATAACTCGGGCCTTCTTAGTCATGGTCTAAAATTCTTCAGCCTTCTCGCTCTCTCTCTATCTGTCTCTCCCTGTGTCTGTCTCTGTCTCTGTCCCTTTCTTTTTCTATGTGTCTGTCTCTTTCTCGTTTTCTGTCTCTATCTCGATCTCTTTGTTTCTCTTTCTACGTATATATATATTTTTTTTTCGATTCTTTTTCATTCTTTTATTCTTTCTCCCTGTCTCTTTCTCTCTCTTTCTCTCTGGACTACTACAGTATGTGAATTTACCAATGCAGCACGCACGGATAAGATATGTATATCTGTGATGCACGATCACGGACACGTGCACACACACACACACACACACACACACACACACACACACACACACACACACACACATACACACACACGTACACGTACATCTCTGACTTCCGTTTTTTCAAGGATTTGGGTACTTTTCTTTTCCTATTTTTCGCTATTACTGAAGGCAAGATGTTTTGGGTACTTCCTTGCGTCACGGTTTTTTTTCCTGTACCATCCGGGACTTCGTTGGCACTAACACCCTTGAGGCTGCGAGTATGTGAAGCTGTGACATTATATGTATTGTATGTCTTGTATGTATTGCACCTCTATTCTGGTGGAATATTCGTCTGTAGATATGTATACGTGCACGTGTGAGGAAGAGAGAGTGTGTTGGGGGTATTTATATACACATGTTTACGTGTTTTCTTGCCCTCCCGAGCTCTCCCCCTTCCCTGCGCTCCTCCAACCTCCACCTTCTCCTTACCCCCGCCCCCTCCCCCCCC